TCCATTTATCGTTATCGAGGTGAAATCCTCAATATTTTATGATATTGATGTTAGGCCTTATCGCCCAGCCCTACTATTGGCCAATCATATGGTGGCAACTCAATGCACTTAGTCATGTTGACATGGTCAAGACGATCTGCTGCAGTCCAAACCGAGCTTCAGGATGGGGAAGAAATGTGATTTAAGTTACTTTGAATGTGGCGTGGTTGTTGGTGCCAGATGGGCTGGTCTGAGTGTTTCAGAAGCTGCTGAGCTTCTGGGATTGTCCCACACAATCATCTCTAGGGTCTACAGAGAATGGGTTGAAAACGGAAAACATCCAAAGAGTGGCAGTTCTGTGGGCGAATATGCTTTGTTGATGCCAGAGGTGTGAGGAGAATGGCCAGACTGGTTCAAGCTGATAGGAAGGCAACAATAACTCAAATAACCACTCGTTACAACCAACGCATGCAGAAGAGCATCTCTGAACACACAACGTGTCGAACCTTGAGGCAGATGGCCTACAGAAGCAGGTCCCACTCCTGTCAGCTAAAACAGGAAACAGGCTACAGTTCACACAGACTCACCACAATTGGACAATAGAAGATTGGAAAAATGTTGCCTGGTCTGATGAGTCTCGATTTCTGCTGCGACATTCTCATGGTAGGGTCAGAATTTGGTGTCAGCATCATGAGAGCATGGATCCATCCTGCCTTGTACCAATGGTTCAGGCTGGTGGTGGGGGTGTAATGGTGTGGGGGATGTTTTCTTGCCCCCCCCCCCCCCATTACCATGATTGTTGCTGAGTATTGTTGAGAGATGGTTCCAGCACCTTGTCTAATCTATGGAATAAGGCAAAAATCATGACCCATAGACAGAGTTCAGTCATTGGGCAAAATCTGCGGTTGCCTTTCAAACTGTCTTTGCATTCTGTTGGACAACGAACGTGACAAGTCAGTGTCGAGTCTGAAGTTAATTTCTCCCCCAGCTGACTTCTACTTCCTGAAACAGGCACATATGCAGGCCTTCATTCCTACTAGAGACCACGGCAGATGCATGAACCATACCTTTAAATTACTAAATTTAATAGACATGAATCAAGTTTGCTCCTTCAAGCATTTAGCCCAAAGACAGCCCTTTTCTGCTAGTTGTCACTAGTTTCTCCTTTTAATGTCCGCCACTGAATTACTGCCCTGAATCTGTGTAGACCACGATCAGTTCTATCTTTACTCTGTGTTTGCCGTGTAGTCTGGCTTGATACAACTCAGAGCTCCTGCCTGGAACATATTAATCATTGAAGCCAAACATGGTCTGTTGGGAGTTTGAGTTCAAATCTATCAGTCCTTCAGAAAGACCTGTCAGCTGAACAGTAATTATCCAATGTTGAAGAGCTGAACCAAAGGAGGAAGAGAAGAGGCATAATATCAGAGTGGTTATCCAGGCGGCAGAAGATCAGATCAGGCGTTTTATCTCCCAGCAGGTCTCTCTGCCCCTCAGGAGCCCGACTGGTTTAGAGACATCAAAGCAGCTGTAAGCAGACCAGTTCATTCTGGTCGATATCCAAACCAGCACTGATCTCTGCTGCTTTTCACACCTACTTCCTTTTCCTTCTGTGTCTTTCTCGCTCTTTGTGTCTTCTTCCCATGCGGTTCCCACTATTTTCTCCATTTAGTCTTTTTATTGGACCCTTTTTAATGTGACTTTTCTTTTCTTTTTTACTTTACTCTTTCTCAAGCATTTTTCTTTATGGTTTTGAATCTTTAACCTGTTTTTTTCAATACTTTTCCCTCTTCCTCCCAAGGTTCTCCCCTCTCTTTCTCCTTCCATCTTCTACTTCTCTTGCTCTCCTCCTCTTTCACACTTTGTCTCCTCCGCACTCATCGATATTTTTGATTTCCATCTGACGCTCATAATGAGGAGTTGGACGGGATCACATTGATCCTTTTACATTTTTTAAGGGTCATGGTTACAATTAACATTCTCCCACTGAATTGGTCAAGGTTTCTAGCTCATTTGATGCAGTGATTTGCAGGTGCGCTAAAACATGGAGGCACATATGTAATTGCTAAATCCAGACAGATTTACTTTCATGCTACAACCTCACTCAGCCATTTGTTTTCTGGGTAGTTTTGCAGCCAAAGATAAGAAAACAACAATCAGTGCATGCAATGTCTGAACTGTCTCTGATGATCAGTGGTGACAGTTACACGTGTTAACCAGATGAGATGTTTGAGGTCAGACTGGAAGGAATTCCTTTTCAAGCTCACGATTCTGAATTTCTTCATTTTATGAAATTTCTTTCTAGTTTTCTGTCTTTCTGTATTATTTTTTTCTTGATTACTGTTTCTTTTCTTGGTAATCTTTCCTTTTGGATTAACGCAACAGGCTTTTCCTTTGAATCAGTCAGTTCAGGAGGAGCGTGCAGGCAGTGTAATCCCATCATGTTGCTTTCTGATTGGCTACACTTCACATTCAATAGGAAGCACACTCCTTAGGGGCTCTGCACACGGGCGGCGACAAACGACCGCGATCAGCAAAATTTGTCGCTGTCGTTTTTATTACCTGTCACACGGGAGGCGATCCGCGGCAGCGGCAAAGCCGTCTACGCGTTCTGTTCCGTGGCGAAATCGAAACTTCCGTTGTTTTGTTTGGCTGTGTCAGGTTGGAGGGAATTAAGGTTATTTAAGCGGTTCAGAGTTAATAAAGTGGTAGATATGATGTTTCACAAGGTGCTGCTAGAGTTATGTGAAATCTTACTTCTGATTTTACTATAAAACATAATAATAATCAACTTCTCCTCCATGTTTGCTCGGAGATGTACGGAGCATCCTGTCCGCTCTCATTGGTCAGTGAATGAAACCTCCGTTGATTGGTCCTCGTCCGAGCGACAGCGATGAAAAGTTGAAAATGTTTCAACTTTCTGGGATCGCGTCGCTGGGTCATCTGTGCACGGCACGTGCACGAGTGCAAAATTTCACACGCACGTTTTTCGCGTTTCGCTTGGTAGGAGGGAGACCCGCGATTATCGCTTTATTCATTGAAAATGAATGGAGGAGAGGCGATGTCGCCTCCCGTGTGTCGAGCCCCTACGTTTTCAAAATCAGATTGAAACACATTTAATATCCCCAAATGAGAATGGAGTGGCCCCAACGAGTATCTGAGCCGACCAAAAGTCTTCGATTTTCAAGAAAATTACGTAAACACACATTAGTGTCCAGACTGTACCTTGGTTCCATATCCTATAACAGTTAAAACCTACATTGTTACAGTTTTTCTCATCATAAAACTGGATTATAATCTTAAAAAGCATTGCCTGTGTTTGTAACACCTCCTCCCCAAAAAACAACAAACAAAACCATTGTTTTGCTGTGACTGAGTATTTTTGCCTTTTACACACAAAAATGTAAAAGATGGAACCTTTTTTACCACATTTGTCCCACTTGGTCCAAATATGAACACATCCTGTTCACAAAGCTTGGATTTAGGAAAGGCCTTGGGTCGCTCTGAGGGATGCTGGCTGATCTGAAACATCACGATTGTCATTGCGTAATGACCAGACAGAAAATGTCTGGTCACATAAAGTCGTTTAGTCCTCCTCTCTATTTTCTATTTAAAACACTTTTTTTTCTTTATCTGATCCTTTCTTTATTTTCTCCCCCTTTCACCTCCTCTTTCATGAATAAAGACTTAAACTGGCACTGCTTTCTTCTTCCTTTAAGCCATTTCTTCTGCTCCTCTTCAGGAGGAAAGTGGGTTCAACTGGAGAAATCAATATTGGATCAGAAACTATTTCACAAGGATTCTGCTGATTCTCACGTGAATCTGTTAGCTGCAAAGTCTGAAGAACAAAAACCCCCAAACGGGGCTCTTTTTGTGAGGATCATTATTTAAGATATGTGTTGTTTTTTTCAGGGATGTAGTTTGGCTCCAGCCCTTGAGAAGGCCTCTGATTGGCCAGCAGAGGGCAGTAACTCTCCACTAAGCTAAGATGCTGTCTTTCTCTCAGTCAGGTTTAATCTTCGTCTTCCTGTCTGCTTGTCTGTCTGCCTGCTCTATCAAGGGCAACCTGTCACACTCTTTCAGCACCTCTTCATCTCTTTTTGGATCTCTTCATCCCTTTTCTTTCTCACTTTACGTTGTTTCATCTTCTCTATTTGCCCGTTTCTCTCTTTTCTTGTTTTTTTTATTTAATTCATCTCTTTTGTCTTTTCTTTTGCCGCAGTGTGTTTCATATTTTTTATTCTCCCTATCAGTTTTTTCAGAAAAGTCTCTGAGACAGCTCCACACACTCGGCTGGATTGCCCCCACCAACCCTGAAGGTGGTTGGGGGGGTTGATGATGGAAGAGACTGGATAATAACATGTTATATCATAAAGTATAAAGTAACAAGCAACAATTATGCCATTAAACACAGCAAATGTGTATCTTCTAATGCTGATTAAGATGGATTTTCACACGTTCCATTAACAATCTGCTTCTGCGTTTCTCTTTTTATCTAATCTGTTTCCCTTCCTCTGCTTTTCCTCGTTTCCCTGTTTACTATTCCTCCCTCCCTCAGTAAACACCCACTTCCGTCCCCTCTGCTTTTCTCTGTTCATTTTTCTTTTATATTATTTGTCAAACTGTGCGATTGCTTGTTTCATCCCGCCGCTCTTGTTTTTGTTCTCTTTCTGGCCTTGAATTAATTCATCTGCCATCAGCTCTTTAAACGGCGTTCTCGCACTCCCCTCCTTTTCTATTCCCCTGCTGCTTTTTTCCCTTTTTTCCCAATTTGTTATTGTTCTTTTCTACCTTCACCTGTTGGATCTTCTACTTTCTTTTCTCAGTGTTTGATGGGTTTTCTGTTTAACTGACAGTAGCAATAATTTGTGCACTCGCACTCGGTCTTGTCCTCCCATGCAGTTTTTATGTCGCTTTATGAGAACTCAACAGAATTCGGCCCTCGGGTTGTTGCTTGTACCGAATCTTTACCTTCAGTTTCTGTTTCTTACTTTGTGACCTGGTGTCCCTCCTGTCTCCAGTGTTTTGTACAGAAGTTGGACCGGTTCATCTTGTGGCTGAAGGAGGCCCTGGACAACACAGAGAACTGGACACAGCCCAGACAGGACCTGGACAGCCTGAGGGTGTACCTGGATACTCACCTGGTGAGAACACTCATGATTCTGTGTCTGAATGTGTGTTACTTACTCTAGTTGGGAGCTTTTCTACTTGGTTCTGGGCCAACTGAAGGTCATTAATGTCTGTTTAGTAAAAACATATTTAAAAAGTGAAACGAGTGATAAAATAACCTAGAGGGGAGGAAATAAACCCACACTTGTATAACCATCTCAATTTGGAAATATTTGTTTTAGGCGAGCTATTTAGAGTGACCTTCAACATACATTGATTGATCAAAAACACCTTTAATCCTCCAGTTTCACTCGACAGCTGAATTTAAAATAGCAATTTGCTGTCTGATCAGAGGAGCTGCACTCTCTGGAGCAACAATCAGACGTTCAGAGATTTTAGAGTAGAATTAAAGTTATTTTTTAACCAGTTAATTTCTGATTCTTTAAAGCAGCTTTACAGCTAAATGTTAACTGCATGATAGTGGTGGAATATGTTATGAAATGTATTTATGATCGTTCCATGCATAGTAGCAACAGGAGTTGACCAAAAACAAAGCCTTGTGGTACTCCACACAGCAGACGATGGGGATCTGGAAACAAAACATCAGTTTCAAAGGTTATAAGCTCTGAACCAGTTCCAGAAATCTTTACCAATTCACAATATCTGATAGCTGCTGCGTGAGTTAGACATGTTGTGGATAGAAGCCATGAGGTAGAGATGGGATTAGCAATGCAGATTAGATTTGGAGGTTTTGGATGTTATGTTGGAGGATGGTTTATGTGTGTGTGAGCCTCTCATTTGTCAAACAAATCTAAAAAGAAATTTAGATTATGAGAAAATCATCACTACATTGAAATGTAATTATAGGAGAAAACCTTTAAAATTATTTGTAAACGCATTTTTGGAAAGTCATTTTTGTCTTGATGACCATACGAAAACAACAACAGCAACACTATATGGAGCAAGCTTTGTACACCCTGGTGAGTTAGAAGCTAACACCGTCTTTGTGTTTTTACATATTTCCTTACAGTTCTGATAATTTGAGCCCCAGAAAATATTTACTAGAGATTGACTCTCCCAAATGACTCCTATTTGAAATTGGTTCTCTTATAAATGCTCTATCTCCCTGTACTGTGCACCTCCTCCTGCATCCCCCACCTGTCCCCTTCGTAGTGGCTACACGAGGCTCCTGGAGCTGCTACTGCCACAATCTAGTCTCAATCTTCGTCTGTGTTTCTGTAAAATGTGAAAAACACGTAGATTGTCAAAAGCAACCCAGATTTGTTAGATTGAATCCACAAAATCACAAATTGTCTTTACAAACAAGATCCTCATTTCGTCTAAGTCTTTCTGCTTTGGCCCTAACATCTATATGATATCAGCTCTGTGCTTGCATGCCTCTGATGAAACCTGGCAGATATATAATTCTAACCTTCTTATTTTTTCATCTTTACTGTCTATTTCTCTTCGTTTTTGCTCAGTAAACTCTAGTGAGTGTCACTGGGGTTTACACTGAAACTCTTAACAGATACATGTGCTGCTACACAGAGCACTCAGGACACGTTAGAAGTCAAAGTAAGAAACAACTGATTCATAGTGATATGCACACACATCAACCAACACTGGGTCTATAAAAGTGTGCAACACACAATATCAGAAATGTCTTTTAGTTCAAACACACACACACGCACGCTCGCACGCGCACACACACACACACACACACACACACACGCGCGCGTGTCATTTGAACACATTTGCACGTTCCTAGACAGATTACCAAATCAACATCTATAACTTCTTCCCTGCAGAACAGCATGTGTACACGTGTGTGTGTGTGTGTGTGTGTGTGTGTGTGTGTGTGTGTGTGTGTGTGTGTGTGTGTGTGTGTGTGTGGTATTCAAGCTTCCTTGCTGGTTTGTTTACGTGTGTTGACTTTGTTGTGGGTGCCAGCAGCACTACCGTTAGCGGCGGTTAGCTTCAATTAGATTCCCAACTCTTAATTGGCGTGTCTTGTTGAATAAAGCAGAAGGGGATGAAAAGGCATCACTAATAGGTCTTTGAACTGCCACACTGTTGATAGCATGTTAGCTAACTGACTGTGTTTGAGGGTGTGTTTGTGTTGATAGTCACACTTGCACTTTGTAGATATTAGTGTGTGTTTGGGGGAATAATTGCATGTGTTTGGTTGATTACTGCAGAGGAAAACAAAATATTTGTTTCTCCCCTAGCTCCTGCTTTTACCTGTTTCTCTTTCAACTTACTTTTTCTTAAACCTATCTATCTATCTATCTATCTATCTATCTATCTATCTATCTATCTATCTATCTATCTATCTATCTATCTATCTATCTATCTATCTATCTATCTATCATCTATCATCTATCTATCATCTATCATCTATCTATCTATCTATCTATCTATCTATCTATCTATCTATCTATCTATCTATCTATCTATCTATCTATCTATCTATCTATCTATCTATCTATCTATCTATCTATCATCTATCATCTATCTATCATCTATCATCTATCTATCTATCTATCTATCTATCTATCTATCTATCTATCTATCTATCTATCTATCTATCTATCTATCTATCTATCTATCTATCTATCTATCTATCTATCTATCTATCATCTATCATCTATCATCTATCTATCATCTATCATCTATCTATCTATCTATCTATCTATCTATCTATCTATCTATCTATCTATCTATCTATCTATCTATCTATCTATCTATCTATCTATCTATCTATCTATCATCTGTCTGTCTGTCTGTCAGACACACACACACACACACACACACACACACACACACACACACACACACACACACACACACAAAGGTGACTGGACAACCAGGAGGTGGTTGAACATGAATTGGAGTCCAAATGCAAAGAAAGGGAAGTAAAGGTCTGGGCAGGATCAGTTTGTTTGGTCTGAACTCAAATTGCCCTCCAGTAGATTAATTGTCTATCAAACATGCAAAACAAGCTAGATTTTAAACACAAACAGAGTCACAGAAGTCTCACCCGTGCTATCAGCGATCGTCCCTAGACCACACCCCTCTGATATGGGAATTCGCGTTGCCATGGTAAAAAGGGGAGTGCTAAACAGCAGTCACTGTTTTCTACATCCAAACATGTTTTGTTGTCGTGACTTCAGCTGGTGTTTTTCTTTTTGGGATTCTGGTATTGTCCTGAAGTGAACCTCTCACACCTGGGGTGTTCTGGTGTGCTTTGGGACAAACAACCAGGTGGTCTAATCGTTGGTTTAGAACCAAGCCGTGTAGATGGCAAAGTAAGAAACAATGCAAAACAACCCCTTCATTATTATTATTATTATTATTATTATTATTATTATTATTATTATTATTATTATTATTATTAATATTTTAATCTTCACACTATATTTATTGCTACACTATGTTAGAACATTGTTGGGAATCATGAATAAAACATGTTTTAAGCCAGCTTTTGCAGATGGGTATGTGGGTGCTGACACACTCTTCTGTACATTACAGCACACAGCAATCATAAATTGGTGTTTTTCATACATTTTTACTTCAAATTGTATCTTTTTGGGTCTCTGGGACAGCAGTAGCTCAGGAGGTACAGCGGGTTGTCCAGTAATCAGAAGGTTGCAGGTTCAAATCCGGCTCTGGACGGAGAATACTGCTGTTGTGTCCTTGGGCAAGACACTTAGCCCTTCTTGCCTGCTGGTGGTGGTCAGAGGTGGCGCCTCGTTCTGTCAGTGTGCCCCAGGGCAGCTGTGGCTACATTGTAGCTCATCACCACTAGCGTGTGAATGGGTGAACTATCCACTGTAGTGGAGTGCCCTGAAAGGCGCTACACAAGAGCAGATCATGTATCACTCACAAGCTGAGACAGATGTTCTTTAACTCTTTCATTACTGTTGTTTGGATCTGATCAAAAAGACCTGCTGGACTGTGGAGCATGAACCATCTGATCAGAAATCTGTGATCTGAGTGTGTGTGTGTGTGTGTGTGGGGGGGGGGCACTAACAGGGTGTCTCAGTTCAGTTTCTCCGTACAGAAAAACAAAAAACTCAACACCACCACCACACTGCTGATGATGTCATCGTTTGAATGAATCCAGGATTAGAATCTGCTGAGTTGTTGGCATCTAGTCACACTTTGGTCGTTCTAGAAAGTTCACTCATACTTTCAAACAGATTTCCTTTTTCTGAATCGCTCCGTTGCACACATTAACACTCAGTCAAACACACACACCCTCAGAAAAACACACACAGCTCCAGGGCAACAGTGAGTGCAGTGGAGCTCCTCCCAGTTGGATATACTGGCCAGCTGACAGTGTGTGTGTGTGTGTGTGTGTGTGTGTGTGTGTGTGTGTGTGTGTGTGTGTGTGTGTGTGTGTGTGTGTGTTCTATAGGACACATGGAGCAAATAAGCACAGGTCCTTCCGAAACCCCGAGGAGATCAGTGAGGCGAGAGGATGCTAGCATGCTCGCTCCCACACACAATCATTCATACACAGGCGGCTCTTTGTGAGGCGGCCAATGAAAGGCCTATTGATTGGGTCTGATGGGCGAACCAGGCCTCTGAATCCCATCAGGAGCTACACACTACTGGTGGCCACATAAGTAGGAGAGGGACATAAAAAGGTGTGAGAGACGCACAATAAACACGATTCATCTGAAAATGCAGGTTGTGTGCAAAAGTGACCACTTTAGTTTTGCAGGTCATTTCCATAAATATCAAAATCCTCACAAAAACAGTGAAAACCAGTTAAAAAAAGGCAAACAATAAAACCAGTTAACCCATATATAAATGGGTTCTATGTTGCATTTCAGGCTGAGCTGGTTCTGCTTGCCAGTGCTTTACTTTAAAGCCTGTGATATTTTCTGAACCTTCAAAGACTTCATCAAAGCTGGAGGAGGCTCAGGAATACAAGGTGTCCTTGCCAGCCACTGCAAAATTAGACCAATGGCAAATGGACCAAATGTTATTCTCAACTTATAATAAACAAGCAGCAACTTTCTGAAGA